CCGAGTGGAGCCCTGCATTGGGGGGGGTCCCTGCTCAGTGGGGAGTCTGCTTCTCCCTCTCCCTCTGCCCCTCCCCCACTGCTCGTGCTCTCTTATTCTCTCTCTCTCAAGTAAATAAAATCTTCGGGAAAAAAAAGGTAATTTGCAACTAATGAAAGGGACCCCACCTCTTACGAAAGGTCTTCATCCTTCATACCTGTTCTGCCGTAAACACAAAGCTGCGTTGCTTAACACAAGGACCATTAGGACCAAATGATGTGTCAGTACATTTCTGGGACAAGGTGACATTGTCACTGATGGTCTGCTGAAGGAAAGAAGCTAATTTTTTTTTTGAGCTTAAGCCTTTAGTAGTAACTTAATTAGGCCATCCTGTAAAATCATCACTAATAACTGTCAGAAGTACCCCTGAGTCACTAGAGGATGACAAAGCTTGGCAGAAAGCCTCTTCCATAGAGAAGAGGCGTCTAAAGTTCACCCTGCCTCTCTCAGAAACGTCCTCAAGGGGCACCAACAACACCCAAACCTCAGCCTGCCTCTTCCCGACCCCACTGCAGGACTTTGCTTCCTGAATGCTTTACACAGGCACGTGTAATAGACATACATGATATACAGCTATGCAATATGTACAATAGAATAGCACTTTAAACAAACAACCCTTCACCCTAGCACAACTATTTTCACTTTTGCAAGATTACATGCTAGTTCTTATCCACAGTCCTTTTTCTTACATGGTGTCAATCTCCTCGTATCCCAATTCTTTAACGTTATTCTGTTTGCCAAGTTTCTTTTTTCTTTTTTTAATTTATTTATGAGACAGAGAGAATATGCAGCTGGGAGGGGCAGAGAATCTCAAGCGGGCTCCATGCTGAGCATGAAGCCCTATGTAGGGCTCGATCCTACAACCCTGAGATCATGACCTGAGCTGAAACCAAGAGTCGGGCGCTCAATCGACTGAGCCACCCAGGCACCCCTGTTTTCCAAGTTTCTATAATCCTTTACCTATTGAGTGTTGCTAAGCTCCATGATCTTCTAACTTATACACTTATTTTGGGCATTTAGGGCAGAACCAGGTGCCTGAAGGGTGAGTTACAGCTTGTTGGTGTGTACTATTTGACAGACATAGTGGGCTTACAGTACTTTGACATTTTTTAAAAATTTTAATTAATTTAGAGTGCACAAGCAAGGGGAGGGGCAGAGGGAGAGAGAGAATCCCAAGCAGACTCCCCGCTGATCACAGAGCCCAATGCAGGGCTCCATCTCACGACCCTGAGATCATGACCTGAGCCGAAATCAAGAGTCAGACGCTTAACTGAGCCACCCAGGGGCACCTGTCATTCTTGTTTTTTAATTTGAATTAGTTGCCAAGAGAAAGGGATAGCCCTTAAAATTCAGATTTCTAATATTGAGATTTGGCAACTAGCAGCGGGAGTCCACCTTCAGAGATAGCATAAACTCTCCACTTTGCCACACTCCCCACCACTCCCTATTGCATTCATCAAGCCAGCTTCACTCAGATCACTTCTGAGTCCTGTACGCAGTTGTCTGCAACCTTTGATTTAATGTCTTGGCCTCCACAGATAAGGCTGCAGATGATGCCTTCAGGTCATGTTTTGCTTCTGTTGTATTATTTCCCTAGGGTATATTTCTCAAAGCAGGCTTACCAAGTGTATTTTTTTGCTCTTGCCATATTGTATTCTCTTTGGGATGTCTGTTGGGGCCACAGTCCTCTCTTGTGCAATAGCTGTCCCAGGCACCCTCCATGGGGACATTCAGCAAAAGCCCTGCTGAACTGGGCCAGTTGAATCCTCTCCCCTAGGAATTTGCAAATTAGATTTAAAGATAATGTGTTGGAGCTGATCTTCTTAAACTGAGGAAAGGCAAACTTTGGGCAATGGGGTGTATGTCTGGTCAAATACATGTGGAAAAGAAAAGAAAGCCAGTTCTGCAAAGAGAAAAAAGAATGAGCTAAAATGGGCAGAGAGATATCGAGGCAAGGAAGTGTGGAGCCAGAGGGAGGGAGGCAGGCAGGCAACAGTGGTTTCTGTTGGCACGAACCCAACAGGCTGAGAGCCTCTTTCTATTGTCTTGGTCCACGGCTGTGTCCCCCACCTGGCAGTGCCGGCATGTTGTAGGTGCTGAGATGTCTGCTGAACGCATAGATGAATCTGAAGATGACCACCTTTTGTCCCACCAGACCTGTAAGCATGTGAAATTGCTCTGACATTGTTCCTATCCCCGTCCAGGCACTGACAACCCCTTGCTGCCCATCCAGGGGTCTGTGCTGGACCATTCCTGCCAATCAGCAGCATGCCCCTCCTCCCCCACCAGCGCAGGGTCTCTTCTGTTATCGCTCCACCTGCTTCCAGGCCATTCCTCAGTTTCCTCTGGGAGATCCTTCAAATGTATGGCTGCCTGACTCTACCTGGATCTCTGCTCACGTGTCCCCCTTCCCAGAGGCCTCCTGACTGCCCATCTGACCACCTGCGTCGCTGCACCGTCTCTTTAGTCTGCTTTATTCCTCATCATAGCAATAAAAAATTATCATAACAAATATTCGTTTTGTTGTCTGTTGCCTCCAGTGAGAAAGTTCATGAGAGTAGAAACTTACTTCGTTCACCATTCTTTCCCCGAAACATGGTCCGACACATGGTTGGTGCCCCATTCGCTGATTCAACAGGTATTTACCAAGTGCCTACTATGTACAATTATGACCTAAAATATGTAACCATGCTGGAAGGCTTAGTGCAATGGGATAAGTTGAGAGAGGCAAGAGTATGAGTAATGCTGGGGATAGGTTTGTTGCAATTTTTAAGTAGCAGGGTCAGGGAAGGCCTCATGTAGGATGTAACATTCTAGCAAACACTCAAAGGAGGCGAGGAAGAGAGCCAGGCACACATCTGAGCAAAGAACATTTCAGGTGGCGAGCAGCCATTGCAAAGGTCCTGAGGCAGGAATGTGTGCAGGAAGCAGTCAAGTTTAGCTGTAAGGGGAGAGCAGCACTGGAAGAAGTGAAACATGAAACAGGAGCCAAGGGAGATTTAAGAGAAAATCTTACCAGGTATCAGTTACGTACAATAAAATGCACCCATGTTAAGTGTACAGTTTGATGAGTCTTGGTCCATGGATATATATAATCAACCACTGCCTTGGTCAAGACATAGAACATTTTCATTACCCCCAAAAGTTCCCTCCTCCCTGCATAGTCAACCCTCCACCTCCCGCTGCAGTGCGCTACAAGTTCTAGAATGTCATTTAGATGGAATCATGTCACAGGTACTCTCCTCGGTCTGGCTTATTTCACTCCACACAAAATTTTTGAGATCCATCCTGTTGTGTTTATCAGCAGTTCCTTTGTACCGTTAAGTAGAATTCCATCCTACGATTCAGCACGGCTTATTTATCCATTCATCTGTGCATGGACCTTGGGTTGTTTGCAGTTTTCCACTGTTATGAATAAAGCTACTATGAATGTTTGTGTACAAGTGATTCTTGGATCGATGTATTCGTTTCACTTGAGTAGGTGGAGACCTAGCAGAGGGATTTCTGGTTTGCACAGTTTAATGGGTATCTAACTTTATGAGAAAGTTACAAACTGTTTTCCAGGGAGGTTGTGCTGTTTTGCACTCCTCCTGGGTGCTCTGCACCTTTGCCAACACTTGGGATCATCGGTCTTTCTGATTGCAGCCACTGTACTGGGCTGGGCTTGTGGTAGCCCCTCACTGTGATTTTAATTTGCGTTTCTCTGATGAGAACGATATCGAGTATTTCTTCATGTCCTCATTAGAGACTTGTACACCTTCTCTTGTGGAATATGTGTTCATTCCTTTCATTGGGTTGTTGGCTTACTGAGTATTGGTTCTTTATATGTATATATATGTATATATGTATATATATATATATATATATATATATATATATATATATATATATATGTATATACATTTTATACCTTTCATCAGGAATGTGTATTGTGACTTTTCTCATAGCAGTGGCCGGTCTTTTCATTTTCTTACCAGTATCTCTCAGAGAGCAGATGTTTCTAATTCTGGCACAGCCGAATTTATCCATTTCTTGCTTATGTGGTTGATGTCTCAGCTAAGAAATGTCTGCCTACCTCAAGGTCATGAAGGGGGGTTCATGTTTTTTCTTGTAATTCCGCAGTTTTAACTTTTCCTTCAGGTGCATACAGGGTTCTGAGCAAGGACCTGACATGAGCCGACTTGTGCGTCAGAGACACCGCTGTGCTGTGTGGACGCTGGTGGGTGGCGCGCAGACCTGTGGGCACTCACGGGGAGGCCACGTGACCGTCCAGGTGGGGCCGGGCCGGCAGAGTGGGAGCGAGAAACAGCAGTCAGACTTGGGAAATATTCATCAGCGAGGTTTTCAGGCTTGTGTTCCATCCCTCCTTGATGAACAGTACTGAAATTTAAGACTTGCTTTGAGCCTGAAGGTTTGCTGTGCATTTTAACTTAGCTTCACTGAAGAACTGGTTTTAAGTTTTAATCTGCACATTGTTATTCTTTGGGCATGGCAGTCCCCAGTACAACAGGACAGTTCATCTATCACTCTTGGAAGATTGAGAAAAGGGAAACCAACACATTCCATGTCACGCCCTGCATCACTCCTGCTAGGACTCATAAATCCATGTCTTTGCCTTGGCCACTTCAATTCATGTGTGACCCTTTCTTTGACTCATGATTTATTGCTCTCAGTTACTCCTTTGGCCAGATTTATAAATGTAACTGTTCTGTCTTTATATAATACCTACTTTGTACACTAGGCAATGACAGCAAATTTATTGTCTATGAGTTGTTACCTTGAAAAATTACATCAATGCAAAGTGATTGCCTTTTAGCCTCCACAGACAATAAATTTAATTTTTTGGAGGGGGTGATATGAGTCATAGGATCATATATATAACCACTGATCACAGAATGAGGAGCAAGTTGGAAGTTCTGAGCAACAGAAGCCAAGAAAGGAGACTGTGTCTCTTGCCCAGCATGTATAAGCTCATCTCCTGGTGTTTGCTTTTCATAGGATGCTTACATCCTCTCCTCTCTCTGCCTGTCCCTGACTCCAGGGAAGAGAGCCTGCAGCTCTCAGGTAAGATGAATTTGTTCCCCTTCTGTTAGTCTTGGAAGAGTCTTCAAGGGTCTTAAATGCAAAGTTAGAGATAAGAATGGGAATTCTTGTTTGCAGGAGTCTTGTTAAATTGAGTCCTAGCTATGGATAGAATACTAGAGGACCCTTATAGCACATTTTAGATTTTTTTCTTTCTAAAATGTAAGGGAAAAAAAAGGGTAGCTTTATTTCACGTCATTCCTGTAACCCAAACTCTTGCTTTGGTCAAAAAAAAATTTTTTTTTCAGTTTAAAAAATTGTACTACATTGTAAGCATAATTTACTTTTCGTTTCTATTTTAAATGAACTGGTCGGATGTAGAATTTGGTTGTTCCAGTTGTAGATGAAAACTATTTTATGTTATTTTAAGTTAAAAGTAATCATCTGACATGTGTTACATGAAACACAAATGTTTATTAAAGAATTAAAAAGGGACAATCTGGAGCTAGAGATGACATCGGTTTCCAGGGCAAGTATCTTATCCTTTTTATGTTTCATTCAGTTTAAGTGTAAGTTGAATTAAAAAAAAAAAAATCAGTCAATACTTACTTGGCTATTTCCTCTTAATTTAGTTTAAGGAATAAAACAACTGATGCATTTAAAATTTAAATGGATTTTATCTTGTCTTTAAATTGGGGTACCTTTAGACTTTTTTTTTTAAGGAAAAAACTCTTCTATACCATTGATTTTATCATTTCTAGCCTCTAAAGTTTCTCCCAAGAGGCTTTTTGATGATGGCCAAGCACTGCTGGCCACTCACGGGTGCCTGTCCGTGGCTACAGCCCAGACTTCCTGTCATGTTACTGGCCCAAAACAGGCATTAACCTTATTGAATCTCTGTTATTTAAAAAGAACAGTGAAAAGCAAGCACGAGATGAAATCAAGACTGACTCTATCACTGTCCTCTTAAAAAATGTACATATTATTATAATCTTTTTAAAACTCAGATGGGTGCAACATCTTACTCAAACCCTAACAGGTGAGGGCCTCCCTTCAGGTTCTTATCTCAGTTTTTCTAATTTAGTTGTTCCTACATAAATGAGCCTCTTGACACACACACTTACATGTGGCCGGATTTTACAGATTTTTCATGAACATTCTTCAGAAATAATTGTGAATGTGCTCAGATGCCCTTATAATGGTTTCAATGCATTGTCTTCCAATTGAGGTTGTAGCTCAGTATCTGTAAACTGTAAGCGTGCTGCTATTCTGGGACTCCCAGAGCCTCTAATCTCAGCATGGCGGCAGCTGGCCAAGAGAGCTATCCTGGTGCCAAGTCTCCGCTGAGCATACCTTCCGTCTTCCACGCACATCCCACACACCTTCCATGCACATCCCATACGTATCCTACACACACTTGCCATACTTCTATTAAGCTGACCAAATCTCACATTAAATAATGTTACTATCAAAGTCTTTAAAAAGTATTTTAAAGGCTGACTCTTTTCTAATGATGACTGTATTCAAATCTTGGAAGGCCGGAAAGATAAGGAGTGCTGCCCTTTATCTGGTTTATCAGAAGAACATAAACAGTCGTCACGTGACTCTCAGAAAACCACCCTTCATTTTTCCTCTCCAATTTTATCACTCAACTATCTACAAGTAAAAGGTAATAGCCAGTTGAGAGGCTTGGCAAGGTCACACAAGGGTGTAGAGAGTCAGAATTAGACCCACTGCTCTTGATTTTCTGTCCTGCCGGCTTGCAAATCGGACCGTAGCACCCCATTTCTCTGTTAAGATACCACTGACAAGTCACAAACATTGCCATTGAAGGCATCTCTAGTATTCTCTCCCTGCCCCAGAGCTCCCCCAAGACAAGAGGGAACAGAAGTCACTGAAGAATGAACAACGTTACTAACCTTTATTATTACTCTGTGTAGCACCTGATGGAGATGCAAGATCAGCCTTGGATGAACTGGAAAGAGTGTCCCTCCTGCAAATGCTGCTGGAGATGTCAGGGGCAGAGAGGGGTGATGGTCTTAGGGAAGCAGGTAAAATAATTCTTGCATGTATAGGTGGTCTGATTTTATTGCTACCGAATTACTCTCTATTCTCATTCACTAGATGGGGTAAAAACCTGTTTTGGAATAGAAAGATGACTGATAAAATAGACTAATAAACTGCCCAACACTCTCCCCTTCTGGTGTAAAGACTCCTCTGCAATCTTGTGTTTTCATTTCTCACCAACTCCTTGCAAGCATCATGCTCTCCTTGGCACCTCAGCATATATATATATTTTTTTCTGCACAGATTATTTGGAGGGGAAGGAGGATATTATCCCAGTTTCCAATAAGTGCAATTTGAAATCCTGCTTTCCCCCTTGCTAAAATCTTAAGCAAACTACGTAAGCATCTGGTACCTCAGTTTCTTCATCGGTAGACAGGATTTGTACAAATACCCATCTCACACGGCTGTTGGGAAGGCAACGAGAAAATGAGGTAGACTGCTCTCCACAGTCACACACAGCCACCAAGAAACTGTCAGCTTTTACTGTTTTCTCTGACTCTACACACAGATACAAATGCTCAGGACATTCTGGAAATGAAATGGAGCCTTTTTCTTTTTTTTCTGAGAAGGGGGTGGGGGCAGGGAGAGGGAGGGTCTCCAGCAGGCTCCCTGCTGAGCACAGAGCCCAACTCCAAGATCATGACCTGAGCCAAAATCAAGAGTCCAACGCTTAACTGGCTGAGCCTCCCAGGCGCCCCCAAATGGAGACTTTTAATAGACATTGTTTAAGAGAAAGAAGTTCGTTCATTTAAAATGTTTCCAATAAACTACTGAACTGCTAACTTTTTGGGGAGAATGCAGTGCCCTTTGTGAACTCCCATCAGCAAGAAAGAAGCTGCCTTCAAGTAAATATTGCTGCAGAGTGAAAACAGGAAGATCAGAGGGGCGCCTGGGTGGCTCAGTCAGTTAAGCGTCTGCCTTTAGCTCACGTCATGATCCTGGGGTCCTAGGATCGAGACCCGCATCGGGCTCCTTGCTCCGCAGGGAGCCTGCTTCTTCCTCCCCCTGCCTCTCTGCCTACTTGTGCTCTGTCAAATAAATAAAATCTTAAAAAAAACCAAAACAAAACAGGAAGATCAGAAATTAATTATGACTTAATAATATTCTAAGAAAAACAAGCATAAACTGGAAATCACAGATCTGATGATGAATGGTTTCCAAATATTGTTTTCCAGGTCTCAGTACTGACATTGCTAACCCTAGAGGAAGTCTGAGAAAGGTAAGTGACCCTATTTACGACAGTTAGGCGAAGCATTTTATACCTTGACTTTAGAAGATCCAAAATGCTTGAACTGGGTAGTGTCCTGGGTAGAAATCATACCTTCAAGTAACTGGCCAATCAGTGTTATTTCAAAGCATTCATTTTTCTAAATTCTGATTCATATGTGACCATAGGAACTTGTCCAGTGCCTGTTTTGGGTAAAAATTATTTTAACAAGTTTAAGGGAATGAACAACAGATAAGGTCCCTGCTCTCCAGTCTGTTACCCCTCTGCTAGCTCTTTCATCATCCCCACATGTGGCCCAGGGGCCAGCAGCCCTGGTGTCACTTGGAAGCTCGTGTGAAATTCAGAATCTCCTACTGAATCAAAATCCGCATCCTAGCAGGCACCCCAGGTGACTCGCATTCGCATTCAAGCGTGGAAGCTGCTGCGTGTACCATCTAAGTGGAAGAATGCTGTGCTCAAACACAGAGGTGGAACATGGGTGGTAGAGGGCAGGGCACGGACGCTAATCTGGGTGCGGGGGAAAGACTGGGATAGGGAATTGGTGAATGACAGATAATATTAGATGGTTAGAAATGGCGTGCAATTCCCGGAGGGCCTCAGATGCTGAAAGAAAAGTCTGCATTTGACCATCACCAACACCCCCAAACTCTAAGTGCTTCCTGAAGGGTTTCTGGGTACACCAGTCCCACCAGCCAATCTACCATGCCTATTGTTCTAGCCTCTCCCGCCCCGCTGATTCTGTGTGTACATCAGCACATCAAAACCTCCAGGAAATCCCGACGTAAACTTATTTAATATTAATCAAGAACTTCCCAAACATTCTGGCCAGAGACATCTTTTTCGGTGTAGTACCCACTAACATCCTTATAAAAATATACTGGACACACTCCATCCCAGAGATGGCAGACACCACCTAAGGTCCCAACTGGGCAAAACCACCCAGAAGGGGTCCGTGTGGTATCTGCATGTGACAAAGTAAAAGTAATCATTCACGTATATATTCTTCTGAGTAGAAGGATTACAGTTAAAAACTCTAAAATCACAAAGGTGATTCATAGGATTTGCTCATGCAGTTCTGCAGTAGAAACAAAACTAAGGGCCCACGCTTCAAGAGAAGTTCATTTCAGGGGAAATAGAAGATGTTTCACACAGAAGATAATAAACGGACAGAACATGTTACTGGTTGATTATTTAAATAGAGATGGGTCAGTGAGGGCTTGGGGAACCTCAGGGCAATCAGAGGACTGACAGAGTAGATCCCTGGCGGGGTGCAGGGAGCCCTTCCAGAGCCACCACACTCCGGGCTCCTACTGCAATTACACCCCACACGACAGAGCAGGCACTTTTCAGGGGCCCTAAGTCTTAACTACGGCTCCTCTTTCTTGTAGGGTTCTTAATTCATTGATAATCTATGTTTTTTTGTTTGTGGATTTGGTTTCAGGCTTTGTCTGGACAAGATCTTAACATTTTCCTGAGTCATCTTTTGGACAGGAACAGGAAACAAGATAAGAAGCGTGGGTCTCCCTCTGAATGCTTCTGGAAATACTGTGTCTGAAGTGAAATGAACATCTACTAGTCAACTCAAAAACAGCCATCTTAGAAACTTAAAAACAAAAATGCCTGGTTTGAAAATAGTATAGAAAAAAAATCTAAGCAAACTAGACTCTGTCCATTATTATTTGGAAAATAAATCCTCTATGTTTTGCAAATATCATGAGTGGTCATTTTACTTATAAACGTGTCCTGAAAATTTATAACTTTTCTTTCCATCAATTTATTCTTGAATTCTCTGAAAATTTAAAAGTAAAGCTGTAAGTGAACAGAGGCAAAAGTAAAATTTATTTAAAATAGCTCAACTACAAACTGCTTAAATGTTATCTTACCTCCATGTCCTCTCAACCTTAAACATGACAACATATATTATTACTTAAAAAAAAAATCAGTGGGGCACCTGGGCGGCTCAGTCAGTTCAGCGTCTGCCTTCAGCTCAGGTCACGATCTCTGGGTCCTGGGATCGAGCTCCGTGTCCCCGGGGCTCCCTGATCAGCGGGGAGCCTGCTTCTCCCTCTGCCCCTCCCCCTGCTCCTGTGCAAGGGCGGGTGCACACTCTCTCTCAAATAAACAAAATTTTATTAAAAAAAAAAAAAAAGAAAAAGCTTTCACTTTCTGGATTTAAGATCTCAAGGACAAATCCATAGGGAAAGAGGTCTCAAACTCAAAGAACGGATGTGTCACCTCGGGGACCATGCTGACATTAAGTAGCTGTGGTAACACTGTGGCGTCTCGCGCCGTTGACACGAAGCTAACACTGGGTCTCCCACACACAACGCTGGCACCACAGAACTGTTTTATATTTATGAGGCCAGAAAGAGCTTCTGTGGAATACCCATGTGGGGTAACTGGGAGCCCTGGCCCGCGTTTCAGTGGTGTAGGCAATTACCCCTGCGGACGGGACTCTGGGGTTGGATTCGAACCTTCCCACCCCTGCTCCGGACACGCAGGTGCACTCTACGGAATCGGAAAGAATACTGCTGACGCTGAATTCTGTGAGTTAGGCCTTTCAGTGTTAGAAATATGCATGTATGTTGAGGACCCAGCGCTGCCCCGAGGGCTCGATGAGGTAATGGATTTGAAAGCTCAGCAGGAGCTCAGACGCTGTGACAACGCAAACACACAGCATTGCTGAGAAAACCAATGTTAATCCTGCCCCTTGCAATGCAACTTAATAAACATTTCATGATGATAAAAAATATTCAAGGCAAAGGTTTATTGACACGATGCAAAAATATCTCCGGTTCTACATGTACAGTTTGTTTTTACTTGAAAAAGATACCTGGTTGAAATATTAATAACCATTAAAAACAAGTAAATTCACACAATTATAAATTCAGTCGAAATGGAATTTCAATTTAGATTAAATTTACCTTGTGAATTATAACAAAGTTTTACTTAATTGCAAAACAACTCCATTCACACAGCATTCCGTTTTTCATAAATCCTGACCTCTTACCCAAGAAAATGCAGCTTTTTGGGTAACATTTATGTAAACATGGAAACCTATAATACACATTTTTATTACCAATTTCTGTAGTTATTAATACAAAAAGTTAATAAACTTGAACAAGAAAGTGTAAAAGTGGGTACAGCCCCCTCGGGGGGCAGCAGCGTCACTGCTGAGCCTCATTTCTCCCCTCCAGCAGTGCGAGCGTTCATGGTCCAATCCCTAAACACGCCAACTAATCTACTTGTCAACATATGAAAGTTATAAACGGTATTACAGATCTACCTACAACGAGCACCAGTTTCATGTCAAGTCTGGCATAATATGCACTCCATAAAATGTGTACTAAGGCAAAGAGATCAGCAAATTCAGATAAAACCAATATCCAGAAAGAATGAAAAAGAGGTGCTTACGTGATTGGAGAATGTAAGGTATAAAACGTGCGGCATGAAGCTGAGTGACCTCTAACAGCCACATGTCATTTCTCATTTATACAAATTAAAATTTTTGTCCCTGCAGAAGGTCATGATGAGTACATTGATGGATAATATCTTGGCTGGTTAGTTTTTTAAAATTTGATTTTTCACCAAGGGCAAAAATACCACACAACCTAACCAACACGACGAGGGCTTCGAAATCACTCAGTGATCAGGATGGAGTAGAATATGAGAGCTCCCCAGTCATAACACTGGAGTAGTTGCATGAAACAGCTTAGCATTTGAAAATGACACATAGAATTGCCTTCTAGGAAAACCTACTTTAGAAAGGAAACCCGAGCTACGGAAACTAAGAATCAGGGCCCTGCAATCACCATGGAATCATGGATAAAAAGGTTGAGTCTTCTAATTATTATCAGGATGCACTTTTATAAAAAAGTATAAAACTTGAAAAGAGGAAGAGTGTTTTTTTAAAACAAAATAGGAAACAAAACAAAACAACAAAAAAAGAAAAATCAGTCTGTTATATAGAAGATAAAAGGTTACTGCTCCTTCACTTGCTTCTAGTCCTCTTTCTGATCTGCGTGGGTCATACTGAGTCTGGGCAGGAATCATGGACTTCTCTAAAGAACACGGAGCTAACTTATCCAGTAAACAACCCACTCACTTCCTAGTAGACACAATCACGGCTGGCACAGGAAGCACTGATCTCTGGCTGCTTCTGCACTCCAGCGAGAACAGTGGAGCCCCCACGGGCCGCTGCTGTCCCCATGGACCGCTGCTGTCCCCGTGCAGCCCATCACGGCACTTACAAACCTCCAACAAGGATGGCCAGACCTCTTGTGTAAATTGGTTGGAAAGGAAGAGTTAACTGTTAATTTTGGGTGAGACAACATTTAAACACCAATTATTTTTGACATGACTTCTGAAACTTTTTACAGTCATTATTTTAAAACCAAAACATTAGAAAGGGGAATACCACTGGATGAGTGAGGAGCTCTTTCTATTTTCATGTCACACATGCAAAAGCTAACTTCAACTCTCTGACAAATAAGCTCATGGTAAGTCGATTGTTAAGGCAGGACTTTGGGAATTTCAGTGGAAGGTGGAAAATTAAAAGGAAAAGCGTCCACATGAACAAAGCTCAAAATCCAACCCCAACACGCAGGTATGTCCGGTGTACCGATGGGTGGTATTTGCTACTACTGGTAAATACAGAAGCGACTCGCGTTGTGGGCAAATGAGAACGTTTCATTTGAACTACGGAAGGACGCGCCAAGCTGCCCAAGGACCAGATGAAAGTACCGCGTTTCTGGGAACCATTCTGAAAACCAGATGGCCTGCAGGGGGGATGTCAAGTGCTCTCACAGGGAAAACGCTTTCTGTAACAACAGAACAAAATGAAGGAGGCCAGGGCTCGGGGCTCTTTCTGGCTCTGCTTCTGACTGCCGTCGATTTCGGGTGCCACCTGTGCACACCCCTCTCTCGAGACCATCCGATCTCCTCAGAGGACGGCTACACTAGAAAACCACCTAACTGACAGCTGTAAGACTCCAGGAACACGGACATAAAAGACTGTATGTATGACGTCTGCTTCAGAGAAACGATGCCTGTTAAAAAAGTCAAGAAGGGAAAACCTTAACATTCAGTGACAACTTCATGGCCACTTAGAGTCGGGGTTTAAAGAGACACACGAAGAGGCCCGGTTGTCCAGCGGGCCCCGGGGGGCGCGCCTCCACGGCCACTCAACCGCTGCTCGCTGCTGCAGCTTGACCACGGGGTTCTGCGGCGTCGCCGAGGGAGTCTTGGCTTTCGCAAGTGACGCAGCCCTCCGAGAAAGAACAAGAGCGGGCAGCATGACATGATGTCATTTGGAAAGTTTAGAATCAGTAAAGTGCTGGCCAAGCACCTTATGTCTAGTCCCCAATTTATTCAGTTCATGTCTAAGAAGAACCTATGTGACAGTTCATTCCTAATTGTTGTTAGAAGGAACATGACAATTATTTACACACTGTTGCTTACATTACTTTGGGACTCACTCATTTACTCTTCTACTCAAAACCCACAAAAACAGTAGTTTAAGAACAAGGACACTTGAAATGAGTAACGGGCTCAGCTCCTGCTTTTTGGCAATGCCACCTCTAACCAGGCTTAAGTTGCGGGAACGCATTCGTTTCTTTAAAAAGGAGGGTGGGAGGATACCAGCACCTGTTTACTTCAGAAGCCTAAACACCCCACTGTTCTGAACACCTAGCTTTCTTCTCTTGCTATAGCTTTTAACTTCACACACTGTCACCTCCCACATAAAAGCCTGACACTTGAGGCAATAAAGGGCTCATTCCCGGTACAAGCGTCACAACCGTTCCACAGAGCCGCCACGGGGACCACTGGCAAATCAGAGCTCCATCGGCCAGGCCACGCACGTGTGATCTCACTGAGAAGATCTTGTAACGGCCAAAGACCACCTGGGTCTCACGGAGGATCCTGCTAGATATGAATACTACATCTAATGTGAATCCCACATCTTGCGTTTTAACTCCATTCAAACACACTCGCGTATCTGAAATGCCAATCTCTTACTCCTCTCCTCCCCTGTCAATCATACATCAGAGTAGGTGCCCTGTAACATTCCAACCAGGAAACACACCTGCAGTCAAAAGACCTGGACTCAAAATCAGAGGGACTGTGCAACCATATATAAATTATTTAATAACTGTACACGTTATTTTGTTGTTTGTTGGTGAGGTAGAAAGATCTGCGAGGGCTGTGATTTTCAGTGGTTTCACTGCAATGTGTATCAAGTGCCTCGGGCACTGTCTGGCACAAAAAAACATCATATAAGACAGCTGTTGTCACCGTGCTTACTTGGATGTCTATTCCTTGAGGGATTGTCTGGCTCTGCATCCAAGAGTGCACCTTGACCAGCTCCTCCCTCTGCCTGCGTGAGAACCGGGGCTGCCGCCCCCGCATGCCTGCCAGCTTCCCCAGGTCCTCTCTCAGGACAGCCTCTGTCACCCTGAGGACAAACGAGCAACCTTAGTCCTGAAGAAGGCACAGGGTTCTTCTGTTATCCAAGACAAGCACTTCTTGGCTTTGCGATATACTTTATATCTCTTGCTAATATATAATGTGGTGAAGCCAGAGCACTTTTTCTTGTTGGAAAGCATCTGCACGGTGCTTGAATGAGGCAGACCGAAGAAACGGATTCCCCTGAGCTCCTCTCTTCTTGTAGAATGGGAAAAATTCGGAGTCTAGAAAGAAAAGTTCTGGTACTTGGGTGCCATCATGGAAGCGCTGCCTTACTCTACTTTCTGGTCTCACAATGCACAACATGTCAGTCTGGTGTGGATCGGACTGTGTGTGTGGCACCACCATGGCCACTGTCCTAGGATCACTCATCATTTGACTTCAAATGAATGAATGTGAAAATCTAGTTCTCTAAGAGCCATGTATAAAAAACATAATTTAAAAATCATTTTGCATTAAACAACATACTTAAGAAATCATCAAAAAAACCCTCATAAAAGTGGGTCTTCTGAAGTGCTTTCTTACCTCTCAGGTACCTGGTATGTCATTAGAATGCACTCAGGAGTTTGTTTTATCATTCTCCACATGGACTCTTCAGCTAAACTGGGAAATGTTTCCTTTTGTACATCCTGAGACTGCTGCCCGTTTGAGGTGATTTCAGAAGAATAATCAGTACTAGCGAAGTACATACTGCTCTCACTGCTTCCTAACAAAGATCAACAACAATTACAGGTTAGGAGATACCTCTTAGGGGCCAATTTGCCAAACTTATTCCTCAAAGACTCTGGCAACCAGCTGACAGTCTTTGTTACCACGCAGCCGAGCCACGGTCCTGGGTGACTTCACCTCCCAGTTCCTCCACCTTCCCTAGATCTCCCTCTCACTCCTCCTGAGCTGACCACGCTCAAGGCCATACCTTGATCCTTTTTATCACTTGCAACTGCTCCATGTCAGCTCCATCTCCCAAACCACTAACATCTTACTCAGCTTTACTTGCTAGTCTGCTTGTTCAAGTGCGTCAACTACAAATCTGAAACCGTGCCTCAGCCCTTCAGCTCAGAGCCCAGCACCCATCATTCAGTAACATGCTTTGCAATACCCGAGATTTCTTTTTCCCTCTGACTTTTCACAACTATCCAGATGTCAATTGTCATAAAGCCAACTGTCAGTTTTGTTCTTATGTAAACCCTAGTAGCCAAAGATATGGAGAAAAGTCATAAATAATAGGGTACACTGGTTCATCATCATTAAAAGGATCGTTCAAATGCTGGGTAACTCTGCTATGGTCTCTGGCCGGCACACCAGCCTGTCCTAGCAAGGACCACTTTCTACACCTCTGCTCCCTCACTCTCTTCTGATAGAAACGGAATTCATTATCCTGACACTAAATGTAAACTTACTCATATCTACACTCTCTCCTCACCTCCTCCTGTTACAACAGAGAAGCTATCCATCCATCCCACGGCCCATCCCTTTATGGCTGCTATGGAGCCTTGCAGATCATTCTTTTCCTATCTTGCATCTGACCTTTCTAGATCCTTTTCATCAACTTTGAAACAATAAAACAAACAAAAAACCCAAAGTACCTCTCTAATTTTTTAAAAAATTACATGGGCAGATATAAAAGATGTTTTTCCTCACTTAAAAAAGAAAAACTCCCTAAAAGGTAATTGTTTAAAGCAACAACAATAACAATTTTATTGTGGTGTTTATAATACATGTAGAAAGAATATTTTTTGTAAGCAAAAACAGCACAGAACATGAAGGAGAAATGGAAGCACTCTTTTAAGGTTCTTTTTTTTTTTTTGGTTGAATTTTTTTTATTTTTATTTTTTTTATTCTTATGTTAATCCTCATACATTACACATCATTAGTTTTAGATGTAGTGTTCCACGATTCATTGTTTGTGCATAACACCCAGTGCTCCATGCAGAACGTGCCCTCCTCAATACCCATCACCAGGCTAACCCATCCTCCCACCCCCCTCCCCTCTAGAACCCTCAGTTTGTTTTTCAGAGTCCATTGTCTCTCATGGTTCGTCTACCCCTCCGATTTCCCCCCCTTCATCCTTCCCCTCCTGCTACCTTCTTCTTCTTCTTCTTTTTTTTTTTTCTTAACATATATTGCATTATTTGTTTCAGAGGTACAGATCTGAGATTCAATAGTCTTGCACAATTCACAGTGCTTACCAGAGCACATCTCTTTTAAGGTTCTTAGACATAAAGTGATATAATACATATGAGGTCTGAAGGTTAACTGTGACAGATAAAAGATGAACTTGTAAATCCTAGAGCAATGACTAAAAAAAGAAAAAACAATGAGAGGTATAGCTGAGAAGCCAGCAACAGAGAGAAAAATAAAATCATTAAAAACACATAATTATCAAAAAGGAAGAGGGGAGGAGGAGAAAAAAAGAAAGAACAGATGAGACAAACCTAAAACAATTAGCAAGATGGAAGATTTGATTTACACTTGACCATATAAATAGTCACATTAAATGTAAATGGTCTAAGTATTCTACTTTAAAGGCAGAGACTGTGATATGAGTAAAAAAAAAAAATCAACACCCAACCATACGCATTAACAGATAAGTTAAAAGTAAAAAAAAAGGAAGAAATATGCCAGATAAACACTAATCAAAATAAAGCTTATCTGAAAGCTATATTACTCAAAAGAATATGGTATTACCCTAAAGCTAGCCATAAAGATAAATAGAACAGAAAAGAGAGTCTCCAAACAGACCCAACATATACAGCCAATTTATTTTCAAAAAAGGTGCCAAGGTAATCCAATGGGGAAAAGATTAATCTTTTTGACAAACGGGACAGGAACTGGAGATCCACACGCAAAGAAGATATCAACCCTTACCTCACACCACATATAAAAATTAACTAAAAATGGATCACAGACCTAGCTACAGAAGATTGTTAAAACAGGGGTGCCTGGGTGGCTCAGTTGATTGAGCATCAGACTCGGTTTTGGCTCAGGTCATGATCTCAGGGTTGTGGGATCAAGACCCACATTGGGCTCCGCAGCACAGAGTTTGCTTGTCCCTCTCCCTCTGCTCCTCCCCTTGCTCGTGCTCTCTTAAATAAATAAATAAAATCTTAAAAAAAAAAAAGATTGTTAAAAAAGACACAGCAGGGACACCTGGGTGGCTCAATCAGTTAAGTGTCTGACTTTTGACTTTGGCTCAGGGTTGTGAGATTGAGCCCCACGCTTGGGATTCTCTCTCTTCCTCTTCCTGTGCCCCACACCCACCCATTTGTGCATGTACACTCTCTCTCTCACACACACACACAAAAAGACACTACAAGCCCCAAATGGAGTCACCTGTGCTTGGCCCATGTCAGCAAACCAAGACTTAATACCTAACCTAACTGCAGTTTCATCTTCCCAGGAATGTAACTTTTAACCAGTCAACATGGAATTACCTGGTCAGGACTAATGAGGTAATCTACCTGATAAACCCCTTCCATTTCCCTTAGGACTGTGACCTTGTCTGAAATTATGTATTCTTTAGTAGTAACTTCCTTTTCCTGCCCCCTTTCTGCCAAACAAAACAAAACAAAACCCCCCCAAAAACAAAAACAAAAAAACCATTCCATTTTGTATAGCTCTTCAGAACTCCTTTCTGTTGCTAGATGGGATGCTGCTCAATTCATGAATCATTGAGCAATGCCAATTTGATCTTCACATTTACATAGTTAAATGTTTTTTTGTTTAACAAGATAAACCTATAAAACTTCAAAAGGAAATAGGAGACTATCAGTGACTTTGAGACAAAGAAGAGCATTACATAATGATAAGGGGGGTTCAATACAACAAGAGGCTATAACACTTGTAAACGTCTATGTACTCAACAGAGGAGCACCTAAATACACAAAACAAACATTAATAGACATAAAGAGAGAAACTGACAATAATATAATAATATTGGGAAACTTTCACACCCCACTTACACCAAAGGACAGATCAGACAGAAGGAGACAATGGCTCTGAATGACACATTAGACCACACAGGACTTAACAGATACATATGAACATCCCATCCAAAGAGAGCAGAATACACATTCTTTTCAAGTGCATATGTAATGTTCTCTAGGACAGATCACATGTTATGCCACAAAACAAGTCTCAATAAGTTTAGAAAGACTGAAATCATATCAATTATCTTTTCTGACAATTATATAAAACTAGAAATTAATTATAAGGAAAAAACTGGAAAAAACCCACAAATAACGTGGAGGCTAAACAACATGCTACCAAAAAACCAATCTATCAAATCAAAGAAGAAATAAAAAAAACACATGGAGACAAATGAAAATGTAAACATAATGGGCCAACGGGAAGCAGCAAAAGCAGTTCTAAGAGGCAAGTTTCTAGCAATAAGGGCCTACACCTCAAGAAACAAGAAAAATCTCAAAATAATATAACCATAATACCTAAAGGAAACAGATAAAGAGCAAACAAAGCCCAAAGTTAGTAGGAAGAAGGAAATACAGATCAAAGCAAAAATAAATGAAATGGAGACTAAGAAAACAGAGAAAAGATTGATGAAACCATGTGGTGGTTCTTAAAAAAAAAAGAAAAAAACAACAAACTGATAAAACTTTAGCCAGACTCATCAATAAAAAAGAAAGAAGATTCAAATAAAATCAGATGAAAGAAAAGTAACAACTGACACCACAGAAATACCAAAGATTAAGATAGACTACTACAAGAAACCATATGCCAGTAAGTTAAGGCAACCTGGAAGAAATGGATAAATTCCTAAAAACATAAACTTCTAAAACAAAATCTGGAAGAAATAAAAATCTGAACAGACTGATGACTTGTAATGAAACTGAATCAGTAATCAAAAAACCCTCAACCAACAAAAGTTCAGAACCAGATGGCTTCACAGGTGAATTCTACCAAACATTTATTTAAAAAAATTTTTTAAAGTTCTATTTATTTAAGTAATCTCTATACCCAATGTGGGGCTTGAATTCATGACCCTGAGATCAAGAGTCACATGCTCCACTGACTGAGCCAGCTAGGTACCCCTAATTCTACCAAACGTTTGAAGAAGAGCTGATACCTATTATTGTCAAACTATTTCAGAAAATCAAAGAGGAAGAAAAGCTTCCAAATTCATTCAATGAGGACAGTATTACCTTGCTACCAAATCCAGACAAAGACACCACAAAACAAGTAACTACAGGTCCATGTTATCCCTGATGAACACAGATGCAAAAATCCTCAACAAAATATTAGCAAAATGAATTAACAATTTGTTAAAAGGATTATTCACCATGATGAAGTGGGATTTATTCCAGGGATGCAAGGATAGTTCAATATCTGCAAGTCAATCAACATGAAATACCACATTAACAAAATAAAGGATAAAAACCACATGATCCTCTCAATAATTACAGAAAAAGCATTTGACAAAATTCAGCATCCATTCATGATAAAAACTCCCAACAAACTGGGTTTAGAGGGAACATATCTCAACATAATAAAGGCCACAAACCCATAGTTAATATCCTACTCAATGGTGAAAAACTGAAAGCTTTCACTCTAAGATCAAAAACAAGACAAAGATGTCCCAACTTTTATTAAAGATTTTATTTGTCAGAGAGACAGACAGAGAGAGCGCACAAGCATGGGGAGCAGCAAGCAGAGGGAGAAGCAGGCTCCCCGTTGAGCAAGGAGCCTGACATGGGACTCAATCCCGGGACCCTGGGATCATGACCCAAGCCAAAGGCAGACACCCAACCAACTGAGCCACCCAGGTGTCCCACTCCAACTTTTATTCAACACAGTACTGGAAGTCCTAGCTTTAGCAATCAGACAAGAAAAGGAGATCAAAGGCATCCAAATTAGTAAGGCAGAAATAAAACATTATTTGCAGATGGCATGATACTATATATAGAAAACCCTAAAGGCTACCAAAAAACTATTAGAACAAATAAATTCAGTAAAGTCGTGAGCACAAAATTAATACAGGGAAATCTGTCACATTCTATACACTAATAATGAAGTAGCAGAAAGGAAAATTAAGAAAAAATCCCACTGGGGTGCCTGGGTGGCTCAGTCAGCTAAACCTCTGCCTTTGGCTCAAGTCATGATCCCAGAGTCCTGGGATCAAACCTCATGTCAGACTCCCTGCTCAGTGAGGAGTCTGCTTCTCCCTCTGCCTCTGCTCCCGCTCTCTCTCTCAAATAAATGGATAAAATCTTAAAAAAAAACAAAAGACACTAATTTGAAAAGATATATCCACCTCCATGTTTGCTGTATTATTATTTACAATAGCCAAGATATGAAAGTGACCTAAGCGTCCACCAACAGATGAAAGGATAAAGAAGAGGTGGTATATATACACAAGGGAATATTACTCAGCCATAGAAAAGAATGAAATCTTGCAATTTGTGACAACATGGATGGAGCCAGAGAGTATATGCTAAGCAAAATCAGTCAGAGAGAAACAAATATCGTATGATTTCACTCATGTGGAACTTAAGAAACAAAACAAATGAACAAAGGAGAAAAAAAAGAGAGACAAACCAAGAAACAAACTCTTAACTACAGAGAACAAACTGATGGTCACCAGAAGGGAGGTGGGTGGGGGATGGGAGGTCACAGGGATGGGGATTAAGGAGTATACTTGCTGTGATGAGCACTGGGTATTATATGACGTGCTGAATCACTACATTGTACACCTGAAACTAACCTAATACTGTAAGTTATTAGTTACAGTATATAGTATATATACTATATAGTATAGTATATAATTACAACTATACTGAAATTAAAATAAAAACCTTAAAAAAAAAAAGATGTGATGCGCATGAATATGCGCATGCACACACAGACACTGGAATCTTACTCAGCCTTAAAAAAAGAATGAGATCCTGTCATTTGCGACAACATGGATAACCCCAGAGGGTATTATGCTAAGTGAAATAAGTCAGAGAGAGAGAAATAAGTCAGACAGAGAAACACTAATACCATATGATTTCACTTATATGTGGAATCTAAAAAACAAAAGAACAAACCAACTAGAAACAGATTCATAAATACAAAGAACTAGTGGTTGCCAGAGGGGAGGGGATTGGGGGATAAGCAAAATAGGTGAGGGGATTAAGAGGTACAAACTTCCAGTCATAAACAAACAAGTCATGAAGATGAAAACTACTGCACAGGGAATATAGTCAATAATACTGTAATAATGTTGTATGGTGAGATGGTAACTACACTTATCATAGTGAGCACCGCATAACGGATAGAATTGTTGAATCACGATGTTGTACACTGGAAACTAATATAATGTTGTATGTAACAAGACTTTAATAATAAAAATAAAATAAGTTAACCATACACTTTACACATGACCTAGCAATTTCATTCCTAGATATTTACTGAATAGAAATGAAAACGTATGTCCACAAAAGGATGCAGACTCAAAGTTCAGGAGCTAGGCTAAGCATTATTCTTAATAGCCCCAAACTAGAAGCAACTGAATAAACCATCAAGCGGTGAATGGATCTCCATACAAATTAATTCTGCTCCATAATAAGAAGGAACAAGTGACTGATACATACCAATAAGGACGAATCTCAGCAGCACTGTGTTAACTGAAAGAACCCTAATACAAAAGACTGCATACTGGACCATTCACCTAATATGAAATTACAGAAAAATCAAAACTAGAGTGATAGAAAGCAAATCAGTGGTTGCCAGGAGCTGGAGCATCAGGGCAGAAACTGATTCTAAAGGGTCACAGAAGAACTCTTCCAGATGATGGAAATGTTCTATGTGGTAATTGTGGTGCTGGCTACACTAATGTATACATTTGTCAGAATTCTTGTTTTGTACACCCAAATTTGGTGAATTCTACTGTAGGTAAATGTACCCCAATAAAGTTTATAAAAAAAGAAAAAAGACTTCACTCCCACATCAGTACCAAAACCAGCACACAGTGAGCTCCTGGCAACAGAGCTGGAAGAACTCATCACTCTGATCCACTACCTGATGCCGCAGAGCCCGTTGCAGACGGCGACTCCTCGTATAGTAATGCCCTGGACAGTTCGCTGGCGGTAACACGACAGCTCTTCTTCCCACTATTGCCCGGGACACACTGCAGAAAGTAAGGGCATAAGAAAAGATTGTAACCTCTCAAGCATCATATTACAAAATAACCGGCAGATCTTCAACTTCACATGTTAAACAGAATAAAGTGCATACATAAGGCACAGGTCAAACAGTTTAGCCTGTCCCCAAGAATGTGATTTTGACCTTTCTATGTAATATTAAAGATACTGCTGGTTTCTGAGCACCTACTACACACCAGGCACCATACAGTTGTATGTTTTTTTGTTTTGTCATTCCAAAAATATATACTGAACGTTTTGTAAGTTCTAAGCACTATTCCCAAAACTGAGGAATAGTGAACAAAACAGAGGTCCAGCTATCCTGAGCTTACATTGCATGGGAAGGATTATAGGAATATTACTTCATTTAATCCTCAGAATAAGCCATCAAGGATTAATCTCTTCATTTTTCAAGTGAGGAACAAAGGAAGGCTGACTGATTTGGTTCAGCTAACACGCCAAACAAGGGCCAGAGTGTCTGCATTCCTGTTTTGTTCCACAGCCCGGCTTTGCTCACTGGGATACACTGCCTTGCACATTTCTAGCAAGTGCACTAATATCAGGCTTTGAAATTTCAGCATATTTTCTTTTTTGGATCATCAGATTGTGAACATTTGTCAAAAAAGGGTATTATGCCTTGAAGGGAAGACTGAAGAAAAACCGTAAAGATTCACACTTGTCTTGAGTCCTATACCTAAATAGAGAAACATCTTGTTCACCAAAGTTTAACTGGACACATACCTCTGAGAATGATTTTTAGGTAAAGAGATGAAAAGTTAAAGGAAAATAATCATGCAGTTTTTGGTTTTGAAAATGATGTGCATAAGTGTGGAACTAGTTGCTTACTTTACTGAGCAGTAATGAGCAGAAAGTGGCTCCCTCCCTGCCCTCCGTCCATACCTGGTATCCCTCAACTGTACCTGCAAGAGCGCACTCACTCCATTCAGGTCTTGTCAATATGGTTTACTCCTGCCTTACCACACCGTAACCCCAGTTGTAAGTAAGACAATATATTTTACAGGCAACAGATATGTTAAGTTTAATGTCTGGATATCAATTTTTTTAAATTTTATTTCTTTATTTCAGAGAGAGACTGAACATGTGTGCATGTGAGCAGGGGTAAGGGCAGGTAGATAGAGTGCATATTTCTGGAAAACAAAGCTGCCTCAACCCCAGCTGTGGTGCCGATTACCCTCTAGGCCTTCAGTGTTGAGCCCCAGGGCAAGAACCTTAATTTTAATGAGGACCCACATTTATGTTCTCGCTCATGTGCTGGAGGTGGGATCACTTACATACTTAGCTTCCGGGCAAATATCCCTTCTCATTTGATCTGAAGATTCACAGGATCTGAGCATGTCTGCTTGCAGTAAGTTTAGCTGTAGTGGTGAGCTGCTCCTTGAGTTAATGCAGGGGTGCTCTCCACATGGCGTCTCCCGTTTTCCTTCTGCCCACCTCTGGCTGAAGACAGAGGATGGCGGCTCCAGGTGTGGAGTCACCGCGGATACCGAGGGCGGTGTTCCAGAAGAGCCCGCTGCTCCCAGGAACGCATACGGACAGAAGGATGGTGACAAGAGGGGACAGCCAGGGGGGTCAGGCAGGAAAATGGTCATCACAGTATCTAAGGAAGGAGAAGGGAGAGCAGGAAAAGACTGCAAGTCGTTCCATAAAGGGGGCTTAGGCAGCTGGTCAAGTGTGGTCAGGGACGCTGCGTGCTCTCTTCCCACAGAGGGCAGGGCCGGGGCGGGGCGGGGCAGGATGAGGTAAGGAGCCAGGCTGGGAACCATCAGGGCAGCCGGGAAGGACAGGCTGGAGGCCTGTGGAGAGGAGGCAAGGGAAGGGCCCCAGGGCTGCCTGTACTGGCCATCTCCTCCCAAGCGGGGACAGAAGGTGTCCTGAGCGCCCCTGCTGTTCCACAGTCCCCGCGGCTTCTTCCGCCTGTGCTTCTCCTTTGTGTAGCCAGCTGATTGGGCCTGCTTGGAAGCAGAGTCTCCTGAAAGCAGAGAGAGGGAGGCATATTATGGAAAACTGGAACCAAAAAAGAAGACAGGAATGCCACTTGCAGGTAATTATAAGTAGATTAGGAAGGAATAGACACTTGTCAATAGTAACCATGTCCACTCCTACTTACACTGAAAACATGAGCAAGATCCTGGATAAAAGCTGTTGTTGTAAAATAAACTTATTTCAGTATCTCTCAATCACTTGCTTATAAAATCAGCTTCTCGGATCCAGGATCTAAGAAAGATCCCAGATAACAAAGTTGGTATGAATTTATTCTGTCAGCATCTCTCAGTTTCTTAGAAGCAAAACCCCTATTCCTTACTCCATACCTCCCAGTACTTACTTACACATATTTATAAAATTGATCAATGAAACACAGTTTTTAAAATATAAGTACCTTGAACACACAAATGTTTAGCTTTGTTTCTGCTTTCTTGCTGAAGACAGGATCTGTAGGGTGATGAGAGGATCTTTTTCCGGAATTTATCAATATAATTCTGTTCCTCCTTCTGGGTGTGAGCTGACAGAACAGCCTTCGTGAGCCCTATGTGTTTAAATTCTTCTGAGGTTAGTGGAGCTGGGTGTGTGCCTGGGGTCCAGGGCTCACACGCTGGGGCACCATCCTCTGCTGGAATCACTTCTGCTGAGGTAAGGAGACAGATTTTATCTTTTTATTAACATATAATGTATTATTGGTTTCAGAGGTACAGGTCTGTGATTCACCAGACTTTTATAATACCCAGTGCTCATTACATCACATGCCCTCCTTAATGTCCATCACCCAGTTACCTCAACCCCCCCACCCCCTTCCCCTTCAGCAACCCTCAGTTTGTTTCCTATGATTAAGAGTCTCTTATGGTTTGTCTCCCTCTCTGATTTCAGTCTTGCTTTATTTTTTCCTCTCTTCCCCTATGATCCTCTGTTCTGTTTCTTAAATTCCACATATCAGTGAGATCATATAATTGTCTTTCTCTGATTGACTTATTTCACTTAGCATAATACCCTCTAGTTCCATCCACGTCGTTGCAAATGGCAAGTTTTTATTTTTTTGATGGCTGAGTAATAATCCATTATATATATATATACCACATCTTCTTTACCCATTTATCTGTCGATGGACATCTGGATTCCTTCCATAGTTTGGCTATTGTGGACACTGCTGTTATAAACATTGGGGTGCAGGTACCCCTTCGGATCACTACATTTGTATCTTTGGGGTAAATACCCAGTACTGCAATTGCTGGGTCATAGGGTAGCTCATTTTCAACTTTTTGTGGAGCTTCCATACTGTTTTCCAGAGTGGCTGCACCAGCTTGCATTTCCACCAATAGTGTAAGAGGGTTCCCCTCTCTCCACATCCTCACCAACATCTGTCCTTTCCTAACTTGTTCATTTTAGCCATTCTGACTGGTGTGAAGTGGTATCGCTTTGTGGTTTTGATTTGTATTTCCTTGATGCCAAGTGATGTAGAGCACTTTTTCATGTGTCTGTTGGCCATTTGGATGTCTTCTTTGGAGAAATGTCTATTCATATCTTCTGCCCATTTCTTGATTGGATTATTTGTTCTTTGGGTATTGAGTTTGAGAAGTTCTTTTTTTTTTTTTTAAAGATTTTATTTATTTGAGAGAGCACAAGAGGGGGTAGGGTCAGAGGGAGAGGCAGACTCCCCACCGAGCAGGAAGCCCCGATATGGGACTCAATCCTGGGACTCCAGGATCATGACCTGAGCCAAAGGCAGTTGCTTAACCAACTGAGCCACCCAGGTGCCCGAGTTTGATAAGTTCTTTATAGATTTTGGATACTAGCCCTTTATCTGATATGTCATTTGCAAATATCTTCTCCCATTCTGTCAGCTGTCTTTGGGTTTTGTTTCCTTCACTGTGCAAAAGCTTTTATCCTGATGAAGTCCCATTAGTTCATTTTTGCCTTTGTTTCCCTTTGGAGATGTGTCTAGCAAGAAGTTGCTGTGGCCGAGGTCGAAGAGGTTGCTGCCTGTGTTCTCCTCTAGGATTTTGATGGATTCCTGTCTCATATTTAGGTCTTTCATCCATTTTGAGTCTATTTTTTGTGAATGGTGTAAGGAAATGGTCCAGTTTCATTCTTCTGCATGTGCCTGTCCAGTTTTCCCGACACCATTTGTTGAAAAGGCTGTCTTTTTTCCATTGGATATTCTTTCCTGCTTTGTTGAAGATTAGTTGACCATAGAGTTGATGGTCCATTTTTGGGTTCTCTATTCTGTTCCATTGATCGATGTGTCTATTTTTGTGCCTGTTCCATACTGTCTTGATGATGACAGCTTTGTAATAGAGCTTGAAGTCCAGAATTGTGATGCCGTCAGTTTTGGTTTTCTTTTTCAACATTCCTTTGGCTAATCGGGATCTTTTTTGGTTCCATATAATTTTAGGATAATTGCTTCCAGCTCTGTGAAAAAAGTTGATGGTATTTTGACAGGGATTGCACTGAATGTGCAGATTGCTCTAGGCAGCATAGACATTTTAACAATATTTGTTCTTCCAATCCATGAGCATGGAATGTTTTTCCATTTCTTCATGTCTGCCTCAATTTCTTTCCCGAGTGTTCTATAGTATTCTGAGCATAGATCCTTTGTCTCTTCAGTGAGGTTTATTTCTATGTATCTTCTTATGGTTTTGGGTGCAATTGTAAATGGGATTGACTCCTTAATTTCTCTTTCTTCTGTCTCAGTGTATAGAAATGCAACTGATTTCTAAATAGATATGCATTGATTTTATATCTTGCCTCTTTGCTGAATTCCTGTATGAGTTTTAGGAATTTTAGGGTGGAGTCTTTTGGGTTTTCCACAGAGTATCATGTCATCTGAGAAGAGTGAGTTTGACTTCTTTGCTGATTCTGATGCCTTTTATTTCTTTTTGTGTCTTGACTGCTGAGGCTAGGACTTCTAGTACTATGTTGAACAGCAGTGGTGATAGTGGACATCCCTGCCATGCTCCTGATCTTAGGGGAAAAGCTCTCAGTTTTTCCCCATTAAGAATGATATTTGCTGTGGGCTTTTCATATATGGCTTTTATGATATTGAGGTATGTTCCCTCTATCCTTACACTGTGAAGAGTTTTAATCAAGAAAGGATGCTGTACTTTGCCAAACGCTTTTTCTGCATCAATGGAGAGGATCTTATGGTTCTTGTCCTTTCTTTTATTGATGTAGTGCATCACGTTGATTGATTTGTGGATGCTGAACCACCCTTGCAGCCCAGGAATAAATCCCACTTGGTTGTGGTGAATAATCCTTTTAATATACTGTTGGATCCAATTGGCTAGTATTTTGGTGAGAATTTTTGCATCCATGTTCATCAGGGATATTGGTCTGTAATTCTCCTTTTTGGTGGGGTCTTTGTCCGGTTTTGGGATCAGGGTAATTAATGCTGGCCTCACAGAAAGAGTTTGGAAGTTTTCTTTCCATTTCTATTTTTTGAAACAGCTTCAGAAGTATAGGTATTAATTCTTCTTTAAATGTTTGGTAGAATTCCCCTGGGAAGCCATCTGGCCCTGGGCTCTTGTTTGTTGGGAGAATTTTGATTACTGTTTTAATTTCCTTGCTGGTTATGGGTCTGTTCAGGTTTTCTATTTCTTCTTGTTTCTGTTTTGGTAGTTTGTACATCTCTAGGAAGGCATCCATTTCTTCCAGATTGCCTAATTTGTTGGCATATAGTTGCTCGTAATATTTTCTTATAATTGTTTGTATTTCTTTGGTGTTGGTTGTGATCTCTTCTCTTTCATTTGTGATTTTATTTATTTGGGTCCTTTCTCTTTTCTTTTTGATAAGTCTGACTAGAGGTTTATTGATCTTATTCTTTCCAAGAACCAGCTCCTAGCTTTGTTGATCTGTTCTACTGTTCTCTTGGTTTCTATTTCATTGATTTCTGCTCTAATCTTTATTATTTCTTTTCTCCTGCTGGGTTGAGGCTTAATTTGCTGTTCTTTCTCCAGCTCCTTTAGGTGTAGGGTTAGGTTGTGTATTTGAGACCTTTCTTGTTGCTTGAGAAAGGCTTGTATTGCTATATACCTTCCCTCTTAGGACCACCTTTGCTGCATCCCAAAGATTCTAAACAGTTGTGTTTTCATTTACATTGGTTTCCATGAATTCTTCTTTAATTTCCTGGTTGACCCATTCATGCTTCAGTAGGATACTCTTTAGCCTCCATATATTTGAATTCTTTCCAAATTTCCTCTTGTGATTGAGTTCCAGTTTCAAAGCATTGTGGTCCAAAACTTGCAGGAGATGATCCCAATCTTTTGGTACCAGTTGAAGACCTGATTTGTGACCCCGTATGTGATCTATTCTGAATGCTCCATGTGCACTCAAGAAGAATGTGTATTCTGTTGCTTTGGGATGGAATGTTCTGAATATATCTGTGAAGTCCACCTGGTCCAGTGTGTCATTCAAAGTCCTTATTTCCTTGTTGATCTTCGATAGATTTCATCTTAATTGCTACCAATTATTTGCATTTATTTATTTTCACTAATTTGCTTTTCAATAAATTCTTACAACCATTATTACAATAGCTGGAATATAAAACTTCATCAACCTAGCAAATAAATCGGTTTTACTTTTTCTGCCTTTCTTTATACTCTTTGTACACTTGTATATACATTGTACAGAGTTGTAACACTCAGTGTGTACATACATATTTATTAAAATCTTATTGTAAATATTTTATCTTCTTAGATTATTCCAAATGTTTTTTATCTTTGAATTAATTTTACAAATCTGTAATATATTCATGGGGTTCAAAAATCAAAAAGCCTTGAAAAGGCAGTCAGTAAATCCTTCCCACTCCTGTCTACTATGTGCCTAGTTCTTGATTTTCCTCACAGAAAACCATTTCTTTCATTTTCTTATCAGTTCAGTTTATGCACCTATAAAGAATCATGAATATAGATTTTTACCTCAGAGGCATGTAATATGTACACTATCTATAGTGTGTTTTCTTCACTTAATGGTGTCCCTTCTAGCAGTACAATGGCAGCTGTCTTACACTTTTTCTGTATCATAGGGCTTCCATTTCATGTGTATACCACAATTTATTAAAGTAAACACCAGTAGACAGACTTTTAGTTGCTTCTAAACATTACTTCTCCCAAGTACAAGAGATTTCATGGTGGACACAGTGGTGGGCTTCCCCACAACATCCCTTCCACCTCTCCCCTCTGTGCAGTCTCCAGGCAGTGTGGGTTTGTGTGCCCCACTCCACTTCCAGAAGTGGACTCTAATTCGTTTAAATCAACACAGCACAGCCAAGATGGAGTAACAGGGACTGGATTTACCCTCCTGCCTGAACCAACTAAGAAAATGGACAAAACATATGAACCAATAAGCTCCAAAACACCGAACATCAGTGAACAAAAGAGTGACCCCTGAGGGAGGGAAAACAAACGGTGAGCCCTGGGGCTGCCCCAGCCTACTGCCTTGAGAGTTTCTGAGGTGCAGAGTGGGGAAACCAGCTGGAGCCTGTGAACCCCCCCCAGCTGAAGAGGCAGAGCTGAAGAGTCTGGTCGGTGGCTAGAGTTTTCAGGGAAGAGTACTGGGGAGGAGAGCTGCAGAGAGTGGGCTCCACAGAGCCAAAGAGAACCCCCTGGAGTATTCACCAGTGCACGCACAGGAGGA